TGGTGGAGTTCTGCTATAAATCGCACCAGGAGACCAAACGCCTCAAACTTGCCAAAAATTCCCAGAACTTCAAACCAGCTCCTCCGTCCACCACACAGAGTTTCACCACATACAGAGAGGGCTATAACGTCTACGGAACAGAGAGCGTCAAAATATAATGGTTCGTCTAAGGCTGTTTTCTTTGTGTTTTTCATGTTTGTTAGTAATACCATTTCTTAAGAAAAAGGTATTGATGATGGGTGATCTACTTTTGATGAGTGATGATATCAGAGTTGCTGGTCAGTTCTGAGGTAAGTAAAGTTTCCCCACTGTGTTAAAGCTGCGTCTTTTTTTTTGTTTTGTTTTTAGAATAACACTTATAAACTGTCCCTACTATTTGACAGATATCACTAAAAGAGTTGTTCTGAGAAATCACACTTGTCTCTGTAACTGCCCTAAGCTTTGTAAACATATAAGAAACAAGAATTAGAGTGTGATTCAGTCATGTTAGCCAGTCAGCAGAGTTGGGAAGTGTTGCTTTTAAAAATGACCAGATTTTTTTATCTTTTTAAAAGAAGTCTCTAATACTCACCATGAATGCTTTTATTTGATCGTAAATAGACAAAACTGTGATACATTTTGAAATAATAGAATTTAAAATAACTGTTTTCTATTTTAACATGTTTTAGATCTTATTTATTCCTGTGATTGCAAAGCTGGAGTAACAGCCATACTCCAGTCTTCACTGTCACATGATCCTTCAGAAATCATATTAATATGCATACTTGGTGCTCAAGAAACATTTCTTATTTTCAGTGTTGAAAATTTTTGTGAAATTTTTTTTTTTCAAGATCCTTTTATGAATAGGAAATTCAAAGGAACAGGATGTATTTGAGATATAATTTTTGTAACATTATAATTGCCTTTGTCACTTTTGATTAGTCAATTAATCAATCCATTAATTTCTGAAAAATATGTACTGACCTTAAACTAAAGTATGCATTAAGTAGTGACCATGTAATATGAGCTATTTGTAACCACATTTTGCCAGTAAGAAAATCATAAAACTTAAATGCAACCATAATATTGGTTGCATTTAATTATGGCCTAATGGTTAGAGTCAGACTTGTAACCCAAAGGTCGGGGGTTCAAGTCTCGGTACCAGCAGGGATTGTAGGTGGGGGGAGTGAATGTACAGCACTCTCTTCCACCCTCAATACCACGACTGAGGTGAGACCCTTGAACAAGGCACCGAACCCCCAACTGCTCCCCGGGCGCTGCAGCAAAAATGGCTGCCCAATGCTCCGGTTGTGTGTTCACAGTATGTGTGTGTTCACTGCTCACTGTTGTGTTCACTTGGATGGGTTAAATGCAGAGCACAAATTACGAGTATAGGACATCATACTTGTCCACACGTCACTTCACTTCACTTCAAAATTATGGGGCACCAGTCATACTGTCAGGGATACATACAGTAGGAGGTGGTCTCTAATTCAATGCTTTAATTCAATCAGGAATGTCGCTTAAGGGTGAAATAATTCCCCACGCAGATTTTGTTCAAGTGAAATTGCTTGAAAGCTGCTTGGTATGAAAGTTACCTCTCAGTGAGCTGCGTGTCATACATCACTACACTATTGATAACAGACAGTGGGTCTTTTGTTGCTGAAATTTTGCTCATTTGACCACACTTGTTGTCTGGTGGTATTTGCAGCAGCTTTAAATTGTTCCCCATGAATCCGGAGCTCCATCTCTTCAAACTTTCTGCTTTTAGATCAGCGCTTTGTTGATTTGCTGCCTTTTGTCTGAATGAATTGTTCTGTTATTGTCAAAAGAGCATATCTGTCTGCAAGTCTCAAATGGGTCGGGCTGCTCTCTTTTCTTATTCTCAGATTGGAAGCCTGTCCCTTGCTGATCATGTGGTATGTGGCATGGGATAGACTCTCCGTCTCTTTGAGTCGACTGCGATTCCCTTTAGAAAGTGGACACGCACCCAACCAAAACTCATCTCACCAGAACACTTGTCTTCTCGGCTCTGAACACAACCTGAACCAATAATCACGCGACAGACTATCGGATGGACCAACACCCGCTCGCCCTCTCTCAGTGCCTTACTGAACCAGTGGCAAAACATGCAGACCATCTCACCAAAGTCCTGGAGATGTCCTGCTGGGTGCTGGGTCTAAAACCATGTTTCAATTTATTCTTATTATGAGAGGGAATAATGGAAAAGGATGGAAGGAGAGATGGACACACACGGTGATAAGAGGTTTGATTTGGTTGATCTCATGATCAGTGATGACAGTGTTTAATGAGTGACAGTCAGCTTGTCTCCATGACAACTCGCACTAGAAGGAGTGTCTGCAGACAAACATTTTATGCAATTTGTAGGAAATATTTTTGAAGGATTCTGCTTATTAATTTAAAGTTTGTGCTGTGATTCTGTGTCCTCAACAACATAATTGTAATGAGTAATGTAAATAATACTTTCAGATGCATTATGGCATCAGAGGACTAATCTCAATATTGTTTCTCTTTCACAATTTGCAGTTTATTTTGATTTTTTTTTTCTTAGCATATTTACTTTGTAGTGAATTCAGGCTGTATGTGCAGTGAGTGAGGGAGTGTGTGTGTGTGTGTGTGTGTGTGTGAGAGGGAGAGAGACAGGACAATTCTCTCTTTTCTGTACTGTAAACCCAACAAGAGTGTAAGATTCTAAATTTGTTTGCCAAATTACTTTATTCTGAAACATAGGAGCTAATGACAGCACATTCATATAACATCAGCAACAACAACAAAAAATGTTCATATTTCACCATCATAGTCAACTGTTTTCTGTTTAGATCAGTTTAAGTCAAGCTTAGGAAACAAAAAATGTTTAATTGTTTGCAATTACTTTTTTGTTTTAAAATTCTTTAATAAACTGCGATTGTCACTGAGATAAAATATGAATACTGTTAAGCTGATAAAAAAGAGAAAACATGGATTTTTTTTATTTTATAAATGCAGATAAAGTCTGTTTAAATTCTTAACATTTGTTTAGATGGTAAAATGCATATTTATTTTGAAGATTTTGTAGAACTGTTTGATTTTTAAGTAGATTTGCATGTACGGTAAAGATGAAAACAGCTTTCACCTCAAGAAAGCCTCCCTTGACATGTCCCTCTTCCCATGTCCCAGTCCTCTGCTCTCCCTCTCCTCCTCCATTCCCTGTTAATTAAAGAAAGAAAGAAAGAATAGAAAATTATGAAATGGTCAAGATACATCCTGAGGAAAACAATAATCTGTCCCTCTGCATGACTGCAACCAACTCTTAATCATTTAAGTATATTTTGTAAATAAAGGCAGATTTAAGACAAATTTCTACTGACTAATGTGTCATTTCAGCTGTATTACCGGTGAATTTAAGTATATTTAATCTCAAACATTCTCATTTTTCATTGACGCTTACATTTGTCAGGCAATTTCAGTGTTGGATTGCTTTACTTCGAGTTGTCTGTACAGATTAGGTTGGTAGAAGGTATTTTAATGTGAAAAACACCTTATGTCATCTTACATTTTTGTCATCTTTTATCATGTCTGACAGCTACACAGCTGGAGCTCTGCACAGCTGACTGTCATGTTCCACTAAACTACCAAAGAACCACGAGATATTGTCAAAAGCTCTGCATTCTAGATTTTCAGGGCTAAATGAAGAGGTGATCATATTTATAACTAAATAATCCTCATCACAAATGCAATACATGCCACCTGCTGAGCAAATAAGCGCCTGCTGTGCATGTAAATATAGTACATGCTGCACAGCAGCAGCTGACAGTTAAACAGATTTGTGTAGAAAGAGATTAATGGTAAAGTGCTTCACCGCAACTGCTTTTAAAGCTTTATAACCAGTGTAGTTCTATTTGATTCCTCTGAAGGCTGGTGTGGCGTAGCGGCAGAAGCCCTGAGTTGGTCACCAGAGGGTTGCTGTTTCGATCCATGGAATCATCATTGGTCCCTTAAGACCTGCAGGAGGACTGTGTCTGCAGTAGGCTACGTGTGGATAATGAGTGAATAAAAGCGTCTGCTAAATTGCTGCTACTGAATATTTGAACAAGTGTAGATTACGGGTGTTTGTTTTGACTGTATAAAAAGAACACATGTACAAACGCAAACCTTGCAAACCTACTCTCCAGTGTCTGGCTTGATGCTCATTGCAGCAGTTCTGCAAACTGGCCATATGATTTTTATTTAGATAATAAATGGTGATGCACCCGCCACACCCCTCCAATGCCACAACGCTCTCATTTCCCCAATGACTCTGTGGTGTTTTAATTTATGTGCCGCCTGTCTGGTTTGGATGAGACGAGCTTTTGCTGTCTATATCCACCTTATTTACTCATTTATTTATTTTGTTTTGCTGCCGGTTTGTAAGAGCGCTCGTGTCCCTTCGGTTGCCTGGCAACGCGCGTGGCAGTGGGCGCTCCTGACCTTGCGTCCGCGACCGCGCACAACGCGCGCGCTTAAAATAGACCCGGGGAGATTGACGTTAATTGAAAATAAGAAAAACGCAAGAAGAGCCGAGCGCCGTTCACACGGCTCGACGGGGAAAAAGGTGATATGTTGGATGGTGGGAACAATGAGATATGAGATGATTACAGTGCACGCTCGGATGTGATACCGGCTGAGCGATTCGGCAGGTGAGATTAACATTTTCTTATTTATGGCTGATCTGATGCGCGCCGTCGGTTCTCAATTCAGGCAGCGGTGAGAACGAAAAATCCCGAGTAATAAGAGCAATTTTCCGATGCTGGTGAATAAAAAATGTGGGTAGTTATAAAAAAAGCGCAAATTGGATTGTGTATGAGTGTATGTGGAACGCGTTTTGATTGAACAATGAACGCTGGTATAATGAATGCGCCGCATTGCTAGTATCTGGGAAATGGCTACGATAAAAGAATGTGGTTTTTGAAAAGGAAATATTTATCTTTTCTTTCTTTGATTTGATTTCATTATAACGGCATTTTCTTTCTCTCGTCTGCAACATGAAAGCTCGCAATCGTAAGAGGGTTAGCAGAGAGCGAGCAAGAGAGAGAGAGAGAGAGAGACGGTAGAGAGAGGAAGAGAATTATCATTCGAATAACCTCAAAGCCATGATTTGCTGCATCTGGGCTGTGGGATCTCGATAATCATAGTCATTAGATGGCCGTAAACAGTCGGCTTTGTAATTCTACTCAGACTACATCAATTTATTCGCATCTGTTTGAAAACACCTCTGCCAGCACCGTTATTTAGTTGTTCCACAGGCCTGTCTGCGAGAGGGACACTCGGGGGTCGAGTCGCTCTCCGCATGCATGCTCAATACCCGCTGATATATTAATCACGGGCGGCGCGTGACGCTGCGCGCGTGTGAATTAAAGCTGCAGTTAGTCACCTGTTGGAAAGGTAACGGCAGCGCACGCGGGAGTGCCAGTCAGAAACCAGTCCGTGTGGACGAATCCAGGAAGCGAGACCAGTACAGATTTCAAGTTGTCATGGTGATTTTACCATCTGTTTGCTCGGTTTGCTTAAAGCTTTCCCAGCGCTCCAAAGGCGTTATGCTGTATGTTTATGATACAAAACTCTGGTATTAGCCGATTCGAGGGAAGGTTCGTGACACCGCAGGTACATTTTCACGAGCTCTTGTTATCGGATGTGAGGTGAATACTGAACCTGCCGTGTTTTATAATGAAATGCCCCCGCATAGTTTATTATCCGCGCGCCATCCCGCCACTGCACCGTTCAGTCGAAGCTACGGAGGAGGAGGAGGAGGAGGAGGAGGGACAAGACTATTGGTATTCATCTCTCGTATGGTAGTCTCTTTCACCGTCCCTGCCGTGAGTCCGGGGAACACACACGCATACACATACTCACCCCATTCCTAGTGAATGCAGAAAAGAAGCGGAAGCCTATACCCTGTATCATTAAACCTGAATAGGCAATAGCACCAGTTTCATGTAAATAGAGCTGAATTCACCAATTCAATGAAAGCTGACTTTTTCATTTAATTTCTCGCACAGTTATGTGGGGTAAATATCAAGGACCCCAATCTTGAAACACATCACTGGCCTGCACAGCTGACCTGATTCAGGCGCGCGCCGTCTACCCCTGTCCGCTCGCTACTGGAAAATGGGCAATGAAATAAACGGACTCCCAGTATTCTCTCGATGGGCCTCCACGGTTCAGATGAACTGACCCACATTACAGGGATGGAGGAACCCAGCGCTAAAATGATTGACAGAAATGCAGGGCACACGAGAGCGTTTATTTGCATCTGCTGATATTCTACAGGTAGCGGTTCTCTTCAGCACCATGGACAGCGACAAGAATGAACAAACAGTAAAAGATCGGTAAAAGACCTAAAGGGCTGGTCCATGCTATACATGTCATACTACATGGCACGTCATTATATATGTTTTAATATAATATATTTAATATGTCGACTTAATTTGTTCAACATTTTTAAAGATTGAAATATTTAGGCTTATTTCCATGCACTCAGCAACAGCATGATAGGCATCATCGAAAATGTTCTTGTTTTTGTGTAATTCATCAAGTTGAAATCTATGGTTTTAAAACCTGTGCTTGACCAGCGTTTATTTCTGAAGGTCAGGTGTCCTTAATTCAAAATACTTTACAGATTTCAAAAGGTATTGCATAATTGGAATGACCCAGTTAATTGTGCAATGGATGATTGTAATTATTTGCCCTGTTGGTTGCTTCTTCTTTTTTTTTGCATAATAACACCAAAGATGACATCTGCATAGCAGCTGGCTTTGGTTAGGTTTTGTTCAGTTAGCTTCTGTGTAAGACCTGGTTTATTTTGCATTGGATTTTTTATTTTGTGTTTTTGTATTGTTTGCAGTTCTAAAGTTGAATTTACAGGCAAGGCAATTACATAAAATAGGTCATATAAGCTAACACCTGCTCAACACACCAGCGTTTTACAGCACTGTGTATGAAACTCGTTTCACACCTCTATGAGTGCCAGGCAGTAGATATCAAGGATTTTAGGTTTTGTACTTGAAGTTGATAGTGATTTTGTATTGCATAGTGCTTTGAAGCATTTAATACATTTGTTTTAAGAACACTGTATTTACATTTACATTTAGTCATTTAGCAGATGCTTTTATCCAAAGCGACTTACAAATGAGGAGTATTTTCTGTCACTTTTGACCAATAAAAAAAAAAAAATTCACTGAATAAGTATTAATTTCCTTCAAAATGCCCTAAAAAGTATGAATATAATGCTGTTGCATTTATATAAATTAGGATATATTGTGGTTTTTTGTTGTGTTTAGTGTAAATTTCTTTGATAAAAACACACACACACTATGTGCATTCAGGTAATTAAAAAAAAAACTTTTGTTAGTAACTCTACAATAAGGTTTCAACAAATGCATAAACTACCATGAACTAGCAATGCTCAACATATTCTTACAGGATTTAACCTTTGTTAATTGTTAAACTCTGTTAAAATGTTCATGTTAGTTCACCGTGCACAATTTAAAACAATAATGTTTTAAAATCTTATTCCTGTGACGGCAATGCATTTCTTCTTAAAATCCTTCTGATGTGCTTATTTGGTGCTCAAGAAATATTTTGTGTTATTATCAATGTTTTTAGGATTTTTGATACATAAAAAGTTCAAGAACAGCTTAAAGAACAGCAAAAGAATTGAACTCTTTTGTTACAATGTAAAAGTATTTACTGTCACTTTTGATCATTTAATGCATCCTTGCTGAATAGAAGTATTAATTTCTTTAAAAATGTTTTACTGTAGTTTACCTACTGTAGATCAAGAAGGAAGCTGGCCAAGCTTCAGTTTCAAAGCTTCTCCAACACTGCAACACACATAATGCACTAACACAGAGTTTTGGTTGTAATGTTGGATGGAAAAAAAAAATTCCACTGGAGCCCTATAATGTTAGCTTAGAATCTCTACAGTCTGCCGCACATCCTCTCAGTTCCTGTGTTTCTCAGCATTTCTAAGCTACTTCAGAAGCTTCTCTAATGTCAAGTTGAGTGTCCATGGCCAGATTCAACTTGAACTGAAGCAGCATCTGTGTCCACTGGAGTGAACGTTGAGAGCTCTGTTTTGGCCTCTTTTAAAGGAAATAGTGAATTGCTCTTGGCAAAATGCTGAGAGCTTTATTACTGCAGGGTTCGGAGCTATCGCTGTATGAAAACAGCTGTTTTCAGAAAAACAGAAACGTTTGGAAACACGAAGAATTTAAACATACGATTGAGACAACATGGTTTATTTGTGTTTGTCAAGTCATCTCCAGGTAATAAATAAAGTATATGAACAATGCAGTGCTAACTGGCATAGCATTTATTACAGTATTGAAACTATTCAGCCTTATGTGATAAAAAAGTGTTTGTAGTATATAAACAAATCATTATTATTGGTTATTGTCCAGCAGTTATCTGATTTCTAAGCCAATTAAAAGCTAGAACTTATTTTCTGCGTCAGTGTGGTTGAGAATGTCAGCGCTGTTTCATCCGGCTTTAAACTAGTTTAAATCACCGCAACATCTGTGGTTTGTATCGGAGACCTCTTCTCCAAACTCAAACGTTTCGCAGTTCGCACGAAATCTCACAGCGCTGTTTAGTGGTCTCATGAAAACGCATTTGTTGTGAGCTCGCACTGCGCTGTTTTTAGTTATTGCTTAAGTTATTACTTAGGCAGTAATAACGGTCTGTGCGGCGCGGATCACACAAGTTGCGCTTTTGGTGCGTTTATGCACTGAATCTTGCGATCACATTTAGTATGCCCGCCCTCTAAGCTCTGAAAATGCTCTGATAAAACAGCAAAGCTGAACCCTAAAGCAACAATCATCTCTGAAAGAGAACAAACATCATAGCCTCATGTTTACCATTACTGATGGCCTGTCAGTTGCAAAATAACCACTACATTAAATAAATGCTGTTTGTTTGAAGTACTCAAAAACTTTCTTTCTCGGTGCCTGACTTTACAACAGTTAGATAAAGTCATCAAACCTCTTTTGTACCTGTTGCACAAATACGTGCCAAATTTTACAGGGTTCTGGTTTTGGTTGGTCTAGTTTTGGCTGGCTGGCATGGCCCAGTTAGCCCCTGCTGGTAGATGTCATACCTACACCACCTGATGATTTTCTTTCAAGCAAAGTATACAGTAAAACTAAACAACTGCCAATGAAAAAATAATTTGTAATGAATGGCTTTCTTTTTATATAACCCCCCTTGCAACTGCAGTATTTCTTATAAGATTTCCAGCCATTTTCATAAAATTGTGAGGCCATATTTACTTCACTTTTCAAGGATTCTTTATGCATCATTACAAAAAAGGATACCCACAATCTCATAAGTGGTTCTGTTTCTTTAAACTGCAGTAAATTCTTCCTGTTTTCAGCTGTCAAAAACAGAGATGTTATTGAAAGTTTCACTCTCAAGATCACTGATAAGAAGTCAGAAGTCGATTTTGACAAATCTTTCTATCCTGTGTCTTTCTCTCAGGATTTTTAAGCACAGGTGACCAGGCCGCTAAAGGGAATTATGGTCTCTTGGATCAGATTCAAGCTCTACGCTGGATCAACAAGAATATTGGATATTTTGGTGGTGATCCGGGCCGCGTGACCGTGTTTGGCTCAGGAATTGGAGCGTCCTGTGTCAGTTTGCTCACTCTTTCACACCATTCTGAAGGTTAGAGACCACACACCTCGAATAATATTAATGTTTAATTCATCATATAAACATACAGATGCAGTAAAATTATCTTCAGTGCTGTTCCGAACATTTATATTCAGATCATTAAAATGTGTTGAAACAGAGGAACATGACACTTTCATAAAACTGTATTGAAAATATGAATTATACTTGCATAATGAATGAAGCGGTTGGAAAACAAAATGTCCTTTTAAAATCTGCTCACTGGTAATTAAGCAATTTACTATAATGATATTTATTTAATTATACCCTATGTAACGCCTTATGATAATCAGTTAAAGGTGTGTCTCTATAAGGCACGTACAGTGTATTTTTGCAGTCCGTTACTGCTGAGACAGCTGCCTCTGCAACCATGACCACTGTCACATCTGAGTTTCCGTTACCACGGTAATCTTTGCTGTAACCATGGTAACTCGTCTCCTGCCTCATCAGCCTTATCCCTCTGTTGTGGGCCTTGAGTGTGTGTAGGTGTGTCTGTCACGACAAGGCATGTGTGCAAAGTGTGTTTTAAAGAGATCAGAGCCAATCACACACACCTGCAGGGATATTGATCCAACATAATTGTTTTGCTTCAACGTACAGTTTTGAAAACACTCTGTCTTCCCTACCTGTCTCATCTCTTTCTCTTTGTCTCACTGTTTTGTGTTTCTCCCTCTTTGGGTCAGTTTTTAAAATTTAACCCCCCCCCCCCCCCCCCCTTTTTCATATCCATATGATTTTATGATCTAATTATATCATTTTATGCATGCATTTGCTGGTACATATATTTTTAGAAAACTGTGATTTTATACATAATGATTTTATAGCTCTTTCTCACTGAATGCATTTACACCCAGAAAAAAACCCAGGTGCACTTATTAAAAATGTAGGTGGATTCTAGGTGTATACTGTAGGGCAGCACCACCGCAACTGCTATCTGTTTCGCAGAAATTCTGCTTTCTTACGGAAAGCCATAGCTCTGGGTTTGTCCAAATTGACTGTCACTACCAATTTTTTGCAATTATTGCTCCAGCAGAGAGCATCTCCGCTACATTCCTTTTTTTGTGTGGACCGCAGAACCAGGTCATCCCCGTTGAGCAGACATTTGATTTCAGTGTGTATAGAGTGAGGTCTAGGGTGGCATACTGCTCCTCCATGGTTGCTGTATCATTTATGTAGATGTTCAAAATGATTGGACTCAAGCTACATCCTCTTCCTGGAGCCTTAGAGTTCTCTCTCCTTCCTCGTCTTTTTAGCTTTGCTTTCTGCAGTTTTGCTACTCTGAAAAACACTGATAACAAGTCATTAGGATTTAAGCTCTCTTTAAATTATTCTGACTGTTCCAGACTGAGTGAAATATACAGTATGACTTCAAACAATTAAAAATCAATTTTACTGTTCACTAGAAAAGCTCTTCTGCAGACAAGGATAACTCTGCATATTGATGTGGATTCTGTTTCATTCTGTATGACTGAACATTGCATTGAATAAAGTAATATTTTCTACATGACAGCAATAAAAGGAAATTCACAGTTTCCAATGTGCAAAGATTACGTATTAGGCACTAAATGTATTTTTTTACATAATTTTTTAAAACATATTTCTTATGTTTTTTTCATTATATCACATTATATAAACATTATATCACACTTAATGTTTTTTTTTCCTCACAGTGTAAACTATTTTTTTACATAATTTTTTTAAACATATTTCTTATGTTTTTTTTTCATTATATCACATTATATAAACATTATATCACACTTAATGTTTTTTTTTCCTCACAGTGTAAATGGGTCTTTAGACTTCATATTTGGGTCGTTGGCAAAACCCCTAATCTAAGACCTTTTGCATTTAGTTTGATAATAGCTGGCTCGAGTTTCACCCCCTGAAATTCACAAAAAAATTCAGCTCCCATCTGGTGGGTGGTGGGCATGTTTTACACCCAGTAGGGCATCCCAGTAGGATGTAGCTGTTGAAGTTGTTTCTCCACTGTTTCCTTGTAGAGTAATTTGCATGAGTCAGAAATGTATGCGCTGGTTATGGAAGGCTTGTCTTGGCGGAAATTATATGGTAGAACTGAAAAGAACTGAAATGCTTTAGTCTCATGATCAAGGTTGTTGGAACTTGTTTACTCGACTTTCATGCAATGTCACCATAGAGTCATGACATAAGTTCATTACAGCAACAGCCCTGCTGGAGCAATCTTTGTGTAGAATGATGAATCATGATGACTCATGATTCATGCTTTGCGGAGAACATCTGATGATATTGGTGGACATGATATTGTATTCTAGGTCTATCAAGTTTGGGATTTGTGTCTCTGTAGACATGGTAGCTGTCAGATATCTACATTCACTGCCTCAGAGGTGATAGCTGAATGTGAAGTATTAAATTATATTAAAAAAAAAAGTATCCACCACCGACCAGATGGGAGTTGAACATCGTAGGTTGAAGCACAAGCCAACTGATCTTATATCATCGAACTGAATACAAAACTGTTTGTGCAGTTGAATATGAAGTGTTTTATTCTAAATTAATCAGTAGCCATAATGGATTCAGCTGGAGCATTTATTATATGGTCAGGAAAAAATGCCACCATAAAAGCAAAGATGCCCCTGGAGATCAAGTGCCCCCTGAATAAAAAAAGTTAATTTCTAACATTGAACCCAACAGATTGTTCGGCAGATGTAAGAAGAAATTTAAACACTGAGAGTGGAGTGGATGAGAGATATATAATGATTTGGCTGAAGGTTGTGAGGGTCACATAAAGATGGCATTAGTGAGTCTCTTAGAAAGCCCAGGATGTGGATGTACCCTTCTTTTATGGCAGGTGAAGATACTGCAACTCTGCCCTTTGCGGATACAATACTAATATAATTGCTGATCTGGAATATTGGTATCCACCACCGACCAGATGGGAGTTGAACATCGTAGGTTGAAGCACAAGCCAACTGATCTTATATCATCGAACTGAATACAAAACTGTTTGTGCAGTTGAATATGAAGTGTTTTATTCTAAATTAATCAGTGGCCATAATGGATTCAGCTGGAGCATTTATTATATGGTCAGGAAAAAATGCCACCATAAAAGCAAAGATGCCCCTGGAGATCAAGTGCCCCCTGAATAAAAAAAGTTAATTTCTAACATTGAACCCAACAGATTGTTCGGCAGATGTAAGAAGAAATTTAAACACTGAGAGTGGAGTGGATGAGAGATATATAATGATTTGGCTGAAGGTTGTGAGGGTCACATAAAGATGGCATTAGTGAGTCTCTTAGAAAGCCCAGGATGTGGATGTACCCTTCTTTTATGGCAGGTGAAGATACTGCAACTCTGCCCTTTGCGGATACAATACTAATATAATTGCTGATCTGGAATATTGGCATGGCATTTACTGTTTTATTTGCTTCTGACATTCTCTGTTCTCTCTCTAGGTTTGTTTCACAGAGCAATCATTCAGAGTGGCTCAGCACTGTCCAGTTGGTCAGTGAACTATCAGCCTGTGAAATACACACGTCTCCTCGCAGAGCGCGTTGGCTGTAATGTCCTTGACACACAAGTATGATGTTTCTTGTCATTTTATGAGTATTTTGAGTTATTAAAGAGATTTTTTGTGTAGAAACATGTCAAGTGAGATGGAAATAAAAGCTATACAGTTGCTGTCACACTATGTAGAGTATGTGAAATTTCATTGGACATTGTAACACACAGGATCACAATTTACAATAAATAGCATTCAACTTATAATGAGAAAATACTGTCCACAAATTTTAGGTGTTTAAGATGTTTTTGAAAGAAGTCTTTTATTCTCACCAAGGCTGCATTTATTTGATCAAAGATAATTAAAAACATTAATCTTGTGTAATATTACAATTTAAAATAATTTTTTTCTATTTTAATGTATTTTAAAATGCAATTTATTCCTGTGATAAACTGTAATAATTTTTTTTAAAGGGGTCCTATTATGCTCTTTTACAAAGTCTTGATTTTGTTTTAGGGGTGTACTAGAACAGACTCTCATACTAGGTTGTTCGAAAAACACATTATTTTTCCCATATTTTACATTATTACAACACCTCTCTCCCCAGTCTGGCATGAACGGCTCAAATAGTTCCTGTATCAAATGAAGGCCCGCCTTCTGAAATACGAAATGTGTTGTGATTGGCAGCACTCGGCGCCTGGTCGGGAAATGTCACGCCCCTTACCTTACTGCAAGCTTCAGTGTAAATATTGAGTCAAAATCTAATCAATTTGAGCGCGATTTAAACCCGGATGATTGTAACTGCTCTAAGTTCGTCTGCCTTGGGAAAGCTAGGAGCTAAGCACTCCGACATAGTAATAACACTCGTTACCTTCTCTAGTGAAGCTCAACCAGGTCTCGTCCCATTGGTCAATATTTATGATATCACAAATCCCGGAAAATATGTATATGTAGTCCAAACGAGTCGTTTGTTGTAGTTTTTTAAAAGTGATTTCTGTTCAATAAAATATCTCCTTTTGAAGTGGACTTTGAGCTTTGTAACTTCGCAGATCTTTTTTATGCTCAAACAGCAACATTACAGACTAACTAAAGTTGAAAAAGTGAAAAAGCATAATAGGACCCCTTTAAGGATTCCTTGATGAATTGAAAGTTCAAAAGAGACGCATTTATTTGAAATAAAAATAATTTGTAACGTTATAAATGTCTTGACTGTCACTTTTGATTAATATAATGCATCATTGCTAAATAAAAGCATTAATTTATAATAAATAAAAAACAAATAACTAACTTTCCTGCAATATATAAACTGTTGTTTTAAATCAATCTGTGACATTTAAATCTTCAATTGTTCACATTTCTTTGCAGGTCACAAAACTTGAACGTTTGTATCAGAATGCAAACGTTCTCTGCATGTGCCTGTGTTTCTCTTCTCCCATGTTTGCATAGATATGAAAGAAGTATATAAATTGAATACAAAGTCAAGTATGACCACAAATTTAGTAGAACTACAGAGCATAAATGTATAATTCCTCACACCTGCTCAGGATAAGGTTAGGGCCCATGATGAGTTACCATTGTTTTTGGTTCCCAGTGTTTTGATTAATAAAAAATATTCAATTTTTAACTTAAATTTAGTCTCTACCTTTTTATGACTAGCAGTTTTTACCAGTGTAGGTGTGGAGGCAGATATAACTGTTGTTACATGTGTGTGTGTGTGTGTGTTTTATGCAGGATCTGGTCCTCTGCATGCAGAAGCGTAGCTACAGGGAGCTGGTGGAGCAGGAAATTCAGCCAGCACGCTTCCATGTGGCCTTTGGCCCTGTCATTGACGGTGACCTCATCCCAGATGACCCTGAAGTGCTCATGGAGCAGGGGGAGTTCCTTAACTATGACATCATGTTGGGCGTTAACCAGGGAGAGGGATTCCGGTTTGTAGAAGGCGTGGTGGAACCAGAAGAGGGCGGGGTTTCCGGCTCCGATTTTGACTTCACGGTATCTGATTTTGTAGATGGTCTCTACGGTTATCCAGAAGGGAAGGACACTCTCAGAGAGACCATAAAGTTCATGTACACAGACTGGGCTGATCGAGACAATCCCGAAACTCGTCGCAAAACCCTCGTGGCCATGTTTACGGATCACCAGTGGGTGGAGCCAGCTGTGGTGACAGCTGACCTGCACGCACGTTACGGTTCTCCAACTTTCTTCTATGCATTCTACCATCACTGCCAGAGCCCCATGAAACCTCCATGGGCGGACGCCGCACACGGCGATGAGCTGGCCTATGTGTTTGGTGTTCCACTTATTGGTCCAACGGAACTCTTCCCCTGCAACTTCTCCCGTAATGATATCATGCTGAGTGCTGTCGTCATGACCTACTGGACCAACTTTGCAAAGACCGGGTAAAACAGAACACTCTCTAAAACAGCACAAGCAATACATATGCAACATTTTTGCAAAACAACATGCAATATCCTGTAGAATTAGAAATACAAAGTAACACAAGCAAAACATTATGAGTGATGATACAACATTCTGGACTCAAGGGGAAAAAATTGCAAAAAAAAGATTATTTATTCATGACATTTTATAATCAGATATGCAATGTCATAATTAGTTATGCATAATAATGCATTTTGTCGCAATACAAGCAGCTCCCAGCTTATCCAGCCTCCAGTTAATGATAAACCAGGTGTGACTGGTAAATTAGTAAGCAGTCACTGTGACCTTGAAGTCGGTCACAAGGAGCATAGCAGAAATTGTGGGAGGAGCAGTGCTGAAAGTAAATTTCAATGTAAAACAGGGCATCAGCTTTTAACTCAATGAAACCGTGCCCTCTGGTGGAAAGGAAGAGGCATTATAAACTGCATCTGTAGATGACCCACTTAAACACATACATTAGCTCACAACAGGGAAAGGTTTCATAAATCTTTTATGTGTTTGATAATACTGTTCACAAAGAAGTATATTATGCTCTTAGGCTGCATTTATTTGAAAAAAATACAGTAAAAACAGTAATATGGTGAAATCTATTTTTGAGCAGCCATTATTTCAGTCTTCAGTGTCACATGATCCTTCATAAGTCATTCTATTATGCTGATTTGGTGCTCAAGTAACATTTCTTATTATTACAGTTGTGGTGCTTAAAATTTCTGTGGAAACTATGATACTTTTTTTCCCCCAGGATACTTTGATTAAAGAAAGTTTAAAAGAATAGCATTTACTTGAAATATAAATCTTTTGTAACATTATAAATGTCTTTACTGTCACTTTTGATCAATTTAATGCATCCTTGCTGAATAAAATGTAAATAAGTTTATTTAAAAATACCTTACTGTCCCTAATCTTTTAAACAGTAGTGTACATTTTTCAAAATGGCTGAAAATTTGTTCCAGGTTTTCTGTTACATTTTGATACACTTTCATCAGCTATAATGTTAATTTTGCTCACTAAATTTATATGCCATTTCAGTCAAAGCAAAATGTAAAAAAATGAATTAACGTGGCATGAGGAAATATTACTAAATTAATAGTAATAATAATAATATACTAAAAAAATTTACTAATATATTTTTCTTTCTTTCTTTATGTCCCCTAAGGGCAGTTGGTTTTACAGCAAGACCAGCATACAAAAAAGACAATTTACAATAAAAAAATTACATTAAAATTTACATTTATAAAAAATTTAAAAAATTTAAAAAAACAGGACAACACAAGACCAAACAACTACCTGCTTCCACCTACTCCCCACATGCCCGAATTTAGCAAAGAGATAGAAGTAGGAATAAATGAATGTTTGTACCTGTTACTCCTAACAGAAGGAAATTTTAACCGAGATCCTGAGGGTAAAAACTGAAACTCGGGGTAGAGAGGATGGGAAGTAACCACTAAGATAGATTGGGCTTTTCTAACTACCTGGCGATTATATAGGTCGGTAGGATGACTCTGCTGAACTCCTAAAATCTTACTGCTAGCTTGTGTTAACTATTTTCACCAATGCAGTCTTTGCCTTCACATAAGACTGCCATACCAGCATAACATAGCAAATGTTAAAACAGACTCAATATAAGATTTGTAAAACAGAGTCATCAGGGATCTATCAACGTTAAATCTGGACAGTCTCCGTAGACAGTACAGAAGTTGCTGGCCCCTTTTACCACCTCCAATATATATATATATATTATATATATATATATATATATATATATATTTAAGCACTGTTTATATATTTCAGATGTAATTAATGAACTTTTTTCTTTTTCTTTTTAAGGGATCCAAACAAGCCAGTTCCTCAGGACACTAAGTTCATCCACACCAAGGCAAACCGTTTTGAAGAAGTGACATGGCCCAAGTACAGTCCTCATGACCAGCTATATCTGCATATTGGGCTGAAGCCTCGTGTTCGGGATCATTATCGAGCTACTAAAGTGGCCTTCTGGAAGCACCTAGTACCTCACCTGTACAACCTGCATGACATGTTCCACTACACATCCACCACCACACGGGTCCCACCTCTTCTGACCACACACAGCTCTCACAGTGGCACACTGCGCCCAGGGGGCAACAAGGCTCGTACCCCTGGCAAACAGCCTCCCCAGTCCACTGCACGCAGTGGGCCACTAGTCATTGCCAATCCGCGTGATTACTCCACAGAGCTGAGCGTCACGATTGCTGTTGGTGCTTCACTTCTCTTTCTCAATGTCTTGGCCTTTGCTGCGCTCTACTATCGCAAGGACAAACGGAGTCGACAGGACACACCCCCTCAGCCTGCAACTCAGCGCCAGACCTCGCCCAATGACCTCAGCTACACGCCCACCTCCATCTCAGGGGGTAACCAAGAAGAGGGGTCACTGTGCGACCCGCTCCGTTTGACGCCGGCATCCTCTCCGCGGGATTACGCCCTCACGCTGCGCCGCTCACCGGATGACATCCCACTCATGACACCCAGTTCTGTCGCCATGACACCAAATAGTGGCACTATGACACCCAACACAGTAACCTTGACGCCCAATAGTGTTACCATGACGCCCAACACCATTACTATGTCACCCAATTCTTTGATGGGGTATCCCAGCATGCACCCTTACAATACTTTCACACATGGATACAACTCCACCAGCCTGCCCCACCCACACTCCACAACACGTGTATAACATGCAACAGACACTCCATGCGCTGACACAAAACACTCACATCCCACAAATCTTTACAACACAATCACAACGAGTGATTACTGTACACCAGATCAAACCAGTGCAAACTGTTTACCAGTATTCAAAATAATAATAGCAGGTGAAACCAATACATAACATGAGCACAATCACCTCTGATTTACGGCACTAGTATGAATCAGTACGGCCATCCGTATAAACCAGAACCAGAAAGAAGTGTCACCGCAACACACTAAAATAAACAGTTTGGCTCAGTGTGAACGCACTGCTTCACGTCTGACCTTTGACAACTTTCACATTATATGCGCAGTAAGGAAGCACTTCTGTGGAATAAGATCGACAAAATGAGCAGATTACTTGAAGGTGAGCTGTAGTACCGCTGCTACCTCTAAGTGGTGCTGCAAGACTCTAAAAACCCTGCAGGTGCTTGATCCGCAAGAACAGTAGGGGGCGCTGGAGTCCCATCAGTGGTTCACCATTACGAACCAAGCAAGCACTTACTACGATATGTAATAATAATAACCTGTAATAACAAACATATGAATAGCTATTGTACAGTATAACATATATTAACGTCAATGTACAGACAGCTTTTTTGAATGTGTCAGAAACAAATATTTCTAATCGTTTTTAAACTCGTTTTAAGATTATATCCATAGCAAAGAAGGTAATTTGAAGCCCAGATTGATTTCGAATCCAACACCTTTTTTTCTTCATTTATAATCACAAAAATGTGATACTACATTTTGTATACTATTTTATACCACATCTCTCTCTCTCTCTCTCTCTCTCTCTCTCTCTCTCTCTCTCTCTTTCCCTCCCCACTTTTCTCTATGAAAAAGGATGCATTGTGCATTTTACTTTTGGTATAATCTATTCATTTAGTAGATTACGCAAACAGATCTCACCGAGTATTTTAAAGAACCGAGCGTGTGTGAAGATTATTCATGAGCACGAGAGAGCGGATGTGTACAATTGTCAAGTTAAGCATCTTTAGATAATTTGTGTCTTGCTAAATGTTATCATTTTGTGAAAATGCTTTTCGATCATTTTAAATCTGTATTGTATCAGAGTTGGTTCGATATGTTTAGTGAAAATTGAAAAGCATTGCATTTTTTTCTGTATTTATCAGTGATATGACACCACTCACGCTGTGATAGGACATACAGGCTTTGCTGAGAATTTACGATGTTAATCTTTTCTATAAAACATGAATGTGGTGATTTGTACTGAACACAGGGCTTCTCTGATGAAGGTCGTTCTAAATGATCGTGTTTACTATGGAGCTGCACAGAGTTTGCACAGGGGATACAGTCGTGCTGTCATGGTGTCAGATCCTGCCAGATGGTTAGATTCTCCATGTTACCCATGCTGACCAATCCTGCCATGAGTTTTGTGCCAAATTTGCGATACAGTTTCCTTGGTAACCAGCAGAAAGTTTGTCTGTTAACGTGTTTGTGTGAAAGTTCAACAGCTTTATAAAAATAATTTGCAGTATTTACAACCGTTTGAGTTCATCTGGACTTTGAAGAGAAAAGACAATGGCAACTGGATGGGTGGAGTGGGACAACAGCAGTGTGTCTCTCCTGGATGAGGGTGACCTGTGTGCAGCTGCTCAGGTCTGTCAGTACAACGGCTTGCAGGAGTCTTGTTCTTTTATACTCTGTATATTTCTGCCTCAAATTTGCAGTAAATATTGAGTTTGCCTAAAAATCCCGCTTCTTGTTTATCAAGATTGATTTGGAGTCTGCAGACTGAAGTTTTTGGCGTGATCTCATGGAAAAGTGTCGCATTTAAGATATTTACAGTGCATTCAAGGTAGGCCTATATCGTGCCAGAGCAGTTTGTGTTTCCTGGGAGCTGAACTTGAGAAAAATCTTAGGGCTACAAGAAAAAGCTAAATAGGTCTATAACAAAATATTTTCACTCAAAATTAAAAATCTATTAGCCTATCTTCCTACCCTTGGGCTGCTGTTTTTTATACAACTGTGTGCCATATTCCAAGTCCAGGTTTGACTGTACTTTTGAAATCCACATTTTTGAAAATGGCCTGAAAATGGTCAAAAACCAACATTTCAGTTGGTTGAACCAACATTTCAGTTCGCTCTTTGAAATGTGCATAAATCAGCCAAATGTTTTGCTTTGTCTGGGAGTTAGCTTTAGAGCTGCAAAACAATGACCTCTATATAAAAACCGCTGTAAGATTTACTCATTAATACAATGAAGGCAATGTGTAAATTTCATCAGTGTGTATTTATGTACAAAAATCACACAGCAAAAAAAAAAAATCTTAGTATTTTTGTCTTGTTTTTCAGTGATAAACAGCAATATCTAAACATTCTTAAATCAAGATATTTAAGAAGCAAAACACGTAAAACATCTGCGAGTGGGATAAGAGAAATAAAACTTGTTTATTTCAGAAAACAAGACTTAATACCAAAGTAATTTTGCTTCTCAAGTAAAAAGATATAATTTTTTTCTTTTTTTCTTTATTTTGCAGTGTAAGAACGGGTTTGACAAATGCTTTTTATGAAGCATGCAAACATTATATTTATTTCAAACCGCACATTAGACCTATTGTTTTCATCAATGTAATAGTATTGTTTACGTGTGTACAAGAGAGGGAATTTGTGTGTTTGTTACAGAAAGAGTGAATTGTCTGTGTGTTCCTATTTCTGAGACAACTGTAGTATTGTATTGAATGTGCTCTTGTTCCAGTCTGACTCTAAAGGTCACAACTCACTCACTTTGCTTCAAAATCTGTGTGTGTACTTGTACAACTATCTTTGAGATAAATTAAGAACCAGTTTGAGTTTTAACCCATTAGAGTGAGGACCAAGAGAGTAATGTGAGGAGGTTTTAGCCAGTCCTCACATTCTGGTACTCCTTTAAAGGGATGTTTTAGGGTTAAGACTTGATTTTAGAGTAAAATTGATAATTTAGTAAAAGTTAAGGTTAGGGTACGGGTTAGGCCCTTAGGTGTGATGGTTAAGGTAAGGGGCTAGGGATTGCATTGTGTCAGTGAATGCCCTCACAAAGTGTGTGTGTGTGAGTAAGGGTTTAGGTTAGCCACTTAGTTCTGAGGGGTAGGGTTAGGGTAAGGAGCTAGAGATTGAATTGTGTCAATAAATGTCCTCACAAAGATAGATGTACAAGAATGTGTGTGTACCGATTTAACTATGTTTTGGGGACAAATTTGTACCCAGAAGTGTGCTACAGTAAATCTGACAAAAACCTAATTTGTAAAAACGGTATTAAAATGAACTTTTTCATTGTAAAAATGCAGAATGATTTATGTTAGACTTGTAGTTTTCATAGTATTTATAAATGCTACGAGTCTAACAGTTGAAGTATTTATTTACGTAGAAACACTGGAAGTCAATGGAATGTCCCTATTTACACTTACTCTTTATTTATCATGGCTGTGAAAGAGGGCGCTGCATCTTTAAGATCTGTGTGTGTGTGTTTTTTGTGAGAGGGAGCAGAGGGGTTTGTTTATTGTTCCAGGGACAAAAGCTTGAGTGAGAATCATAAAAGCATTGAGGGAGATTAAACTACACGGCACATCAGAGAGACAGAGAGCGATACGCACACACATACTCACATGGGTAAGTTTACCTGAACGCACCTGAACCCATTTTAACCACTGCTATGATGTTCATTATTCCATCATTTTAATCATATTTATGGGCAGAATTTTAATTAATTGGTGTGTCTGTGATTTGCATGTAATATAAGTTGTATAGACAAATGTATACAAGCATTTTAATGATACTTTTTTGTAAGATGTGTGTAAGATGCCATCAGGTTGGTCCGAAGGTTAGAACCATCACTCCTGCATTTATGATGAAGATACATTTAATGGATCCTTACTAATTAAAAAGGTTGTTTTGATTGATTAACCAGCTGGCTCTGATTTTGATTGGCTAAGACAGTTGCTACAATGCCTCAGAGGTGTGGATGAGAAGACCAGTAACCTCAGGAGACTCCAGACAAAGAGGTCACACCAGGTCTTTAGGTCATATATACTCTTCTCTGCGGGGGACTCCTGTATGGGCCAGTGCCAGTCTAATGTGGGAAAATATTTAATGTATTTGCATGAAGGATTCATATGTATGTATGCATTGAATTGTTTAATAGGTTTCTCTCTTTTTTTGCATAAGAGCTTATCAGCCTTCTGCAGAATCACGTCTTCTGTTTGAACAGCGTATGTGTGATTTTATGTTTTCTGCTCAAATCTTGGTACAGTTCACCCAAAAATTACAATTCTGATATTTTCCACCCTCATGCTGTTTCAGACCTGTAGAAGCAAGGGAGGGAGAGGAGCAGCTTAAGCGATGCGTTTTTTCTTCCTTGAGGTGGACAGTGGAGTGTATCTGAAGAAAGAAAGAGAAATTACCTCCCTCAATTTAGACATCGCAGCAACAGAGGACAGAAATCTCTCTGGAGTGAGTGGACAAGCATCTGCACGGTTCTCTCCTGGTGTGGGTTCGACTCAGCAGTGTCGATGTTTCCAGTGAAACAGCCGTGGTTGTGTAAAGCGCTAGGTGACCTGAGATGCATCATCTTCTCTCACAGGCTGGAGACTGCAGAACTCCATAGCTGAGCCTTCTTGGGCTTATCGTTTGTTTGGCATCTTTTGGTTTTAGTTTTTAGCCTTTTATTGATGCAGTTGTTTTTCCTGTTAAATCTTTTGGTGCATGTAGTGCATAGTCATCTCTTCTGCTTCCTCATATTTTAGTTTTTTACTTTTAGGTTACTTTTTTTGTAATTTGGATCACTTTTGTTGTACGAGATTTCAAAAAGGGTTTTGTGATTGCTTGCTTTCACTTTGCGTTTGGCTTGTTCATTTGTGACTCCATTACACACTGACTGACTATTTATAAGTGTGTGTGTGTGTGTGTGTGTGTGAGAGAGCGAGAGAGATAGTTTCAGAAACATTTACTCATAGAGCACATAGTATGTGTGTGCATCTGTTTTAGAGTGTGTTCTTGACTAACTAGGCCAACTAACTCTTAAAAGCACATTAGAGTTGTTTGCTTTAAGTTTGGATACTCATTTAGAGGTTATCTGTTTGATTTTATTGTTGATTATGAGTAGACTCGTGTATTAGTAGTAGAGAGAGTGTGTGTGTGTGTGTGTGTGTATAAATGTGTGTGTGTATTGTGTGTGCTGCATGTGCAGTTGGTGTGTTGATATATTACTCACCTACAGGTTGCTATGACTGCTGCATCCGCTGCCTGGGCGCCGTGCCCTACACCAGCCTGCTGGCCACCCTGCTCTGCTACACCGGTGTGGCACTCTTCTGCGGGGGAGGGCATGAGGCGCTCACTCACACACGCACATTCGTAGAGCTCTACTTCGCAAGGGACGTCCAGGATTTCACTGTGCTGGCAGACTTGTGAGTTATTGACTTTACACAGTGCTTAATGTGAGCACAGAATTGTTTTTTTCATTAATCAGTGTTCTTTAGCATAGTTTGTTCTAATTTGTCTTATGAGACCAGTGGTTTATGTTTGCATTTGTTATTTATTCTATATTTTGTGTTTCAGTATAAAATATTTCCAGTATGTGATCTACGGTCTGGCCTCCTTCTTTTTCCTCTATGGATTGTTGCTCTTGGCTGAAGGTTTTTACACCACCAGTGCAGTAAAGCAGACTTTTGGAGAGTTCAGGAGCACCAAGTTCGGGCGCTGCCTCAGCCTGACTGTGAGTGTGCGCGTGTGTGTGTGTGAGAGAGAGAGTTGGATTTAGAATTTTGTGGTAAAAAAAATTGATTTCTTGTCCTAAAAAATATTATTAAAATACTATTAAAAATAATTTGTATTAAAATAGCCATTATTATAATATTAATTAATTTCATGAAGCTGCAGTCCGTAACTTTTGGCGCTCTAGCGGTTAATAAACAGAACTCCGTGCGTCTTGCGGAAGAACATTGTAGCCGGAGCTACTTCTCTCTGTTTATGTCTATGCCGAATCACGCAGGTACTGGGCTACTCCGCAGGGGTACCTACCCGAACCAGTCTAAATAGTCCGAATATAAACACTTATTATAGGTGTACTGTAGTGATTCAGGACAAGCCAAAAACACGGTTTGGAAAATTGATTCATGATGTACTAGCTTATTATATACATTTTGTCAGTTTTGAACACAAAAAAGTTACGGACTGCAGCTTTAATATAACATTAATTGATAATAATTATTAAAAATTATGAAAACTTTAAAAGTCATGGAAAAGCTATGGGAAGTTCAGTAGACAATATGCTTTTTCAGTTATGCCGTTCTAAAGTATTAATGCAGCGTGAAATGACTCTCTGTAAATGTGATCTCTATAAAATGATTTTGAAGCTACTTATCCTATCATTACAAATGATTGGAAAAGTCAGGGGAAACAAATCATAATTCGCAAAGTGTGGTAATTCTGAAATATACTCCAGCTAGATCATTCAGATCATCCGACTGCAACTTGCTTGGTTGTGCCTACTCTCAGATAACCTGTGAGCAGGTGGTTTAGTCAGCTATTTTGTAAAGTCAGTTTTTTTTTTTGATATCTCCTTCCATATCTATTTATGTATGTGAACATTTATGACCATATATGAATATGTCTTCTGTAAAGCAGTTAAAACACTGTTAAGACACTGTTAAGGTGCCATCCAAATCCATTTTTACTTACTTTCATACATAGTTTGCATGTCCATGCCTGTTATGTTGCACTGATCTGATTAGCTGTTTCTCTTGTCCAGTTTATAATCCTGACGTATGTGCTCGCTGTGATCTGGCTAGTTGTCTTTGGCTTCACGGCCATTCCTGTGCTCTTCTTCATTAATATGGAAAGCTCCTGTCACAAAGTCAACATTCTGTCGGAAACCACCTTGTTCAACCAGCAAGCAAGAGTCTGTATGGATGCACGGATGTATGGTACGTCTGCGCCCGCGTTTCTGTACATATGCATGTGTGTGTTCATCTGTACATTAGCGTGTGTGTTCATAATCATGATGTCTGGGTTGTTCTATATAGGGTTTCTTCCCTGGAATGCTGTGCCAGGGATTGTTTGTGGAAACACACTGGCAAACATCTGCAAAACACCAGAGGTTAGATGTTTATAATCCTGGACACACACACACTTAGAGTTTCAAGAAATCATATCACTTATATCCCTTTTTATGTTTCCAGTTCTACGTGACCTATGACCTTTATATCTGTGCATTTGCTGGAGCAGGAATCACCCTTCTTGCCCTGGTTAGTGATCTAATATTTTACACATGTGAATTTTAAAAGTAATTTATAGTTGTGGAAGATTTTGTGCAAGGTTATAGTGAGCTCCTTCAAGAGGCTCGTTGCTTTGTGTTCTGGAAAGCATCAATAATTAAAGGGGTCATATGATGCTTTTTTAAAGATCATTATTTTGTGTATTTGGTGTAACAGAACATGTTGACATGCTTTAATGTTCAAAAAACACATTATTTTTCAAATACTGTACATTATTGTAGGTCCTCTATGCCCCGCCTCTCTCAAACGCTTCATTTTCTACAAAGTAGAAAGCCTACTTCCGACAAGCGCAGTCTCCTCTGATTGGCCAGCTGACCCAGTGCATTGTGATTGGCCGAACACCGCAAGCACTCGTTGGAAATGTAACATCCCTTACCATAATCGCGAGCTTCATCTTTCAAAATAAATGTAAAGACAGAGCCCGAAAGGGGAACAGAGTCGCGCGACAGACACAGTGATGAAGCTGGTATGTGTTTGCAGTACACAAGCCACGGTTAAGACAGCTGACTCCACTGTGATGTGACCCCCCCCCCTCTCTCTCTCGCTCGCTCGCTCGCGCACACACGGTCGTCCATTAAATGCATTGCTGTTCTGTTGTAACTAAGTAATCTTAAAGATTCCTAAATGCATCTACTTTCGGAAGGCCAAGTAAAGTGCTTCTGCTTTCGCCTAGAAACACACAGCGTCTCCCTGACATGGCTGCTTCAACACTAACTGCGGTTACTGAAACCACGCCTTCTTTCTTTGCGTGCACATTTGGGCGGCATTATGCAAATATTTCCACATAGGGAGGTAGATATGTGGGGGCGTGTTAGAACGAGCCGTTTTAGGGGGGCGTGGCAGAGTCTTAACTTTGATAAAGAATATCTCTTTGGGTTTGAGACTTTAATCTTTGCAACTTCAGGTTATGCACAATCAGCTTGTAACACTCCAAAGAGAAAGGAAAACTTGAAATCGCATCATATGACCCCTTTAATTAGCTAATCCACCTCAGCAATCTTTATGAAATTTTAAAAATCACAACTGACAGTGATCTTGACAAGCACCGAGAACGGTAACAGCTAATTTACATATTCATCTGTAATTGTAAATTGATTATTATATTTACACATTCATTTATATTTATTTATATGCCTATTGGCAAACTTTGAAATTCACTGGGATTTTATTTGCACTGAATTCTTTGAGGTCAGAGTGCAGAGCTGTCAAACAGCATGAAGTTAATAACGGAAGAACAGCAGGGGAATGTTTAGCTTAAAATCAGTAACTGACCTCTCTACTACTGACAGATCCCCAGCGTCTCTACTCCCTTTTCCTGTATATTTGGCAGCAGTCATTTCTCCGGCTTTATCTAAAGACAACCACTAGGAGCAACCAGAGCTTCTCAGTCATACTGAGGAGCACAATGCGATTGATACAAACACGTAAAACCGTAAATAAGTAGGAAATGTGCTCGTGCTATTGCCAGATGGTAGGAAATAATAACTGCATTAATAAACGTACACAACCTTTTTAAAGAATCCAGTCCTGAATATTTCTATGCTATACTAGAACTTAAGCCCCAGTTGCCCAAGAGGGATTGTTTCTCTAAAATATACGCTGCTATGGACAAGATTGTAAATAAATAATGATGTGCTATTGTTGGAATTGCATTCCTTGCCTGATGTTTATAGTGAGTCTCAAAGGGATATAAGCATTACTGTCACAAGAGCTCAAATTTCTCTTGTTTAAAAAACCTTTTGGAGAGGAACACATTAGATATGTTGTTTCTTCCTTCTTTTTTTCTAGTTCATTTATGTGGTTGCCACCACCTACAACTACGCTGTTCTAAGGTTTCTCGGAAGAAAGGGAATCCGTTGCTAGGTTCGGTGTTGCTAGGCCCACTTTCCTGTTGCCTGCGGCAGCAGTTTCAGTGGTCATCACTGTGACCGGAGAGGAAACACAAAAGAGCTCCATGAAGCCCCTGCAGAGTTCTGTCATACAGAGCACAAACACACATGAGCCACTGGTTTCATGAGACAGATTAGTACAAATTACACTAAGGAAGATTGACCAAAAAATATATATATATATATTTGATTAAAGCACTACATGTAAAACCACAAACTGCTGTACTGTAGATCTCTGGAGGAGTGGAATTTAGCTTCTATATTTCTTCATTTGTCTCCTCTCTCTGTGTCTTTGCCACACACATTATTATATTGCTCTCTCCTTTCTCTCATGGCCATTTATTCATTTTAATGATTGTATTCATTGTGCTTCATGGTCTTATTAATGCCTTGCAGTTTGCCAGGATTTTAGCCTCTCGTCTCTCTCTCTCTCTCTCTCACACACATTCCATCTTTTTGAAAGAGTTCGAGTGTGTTGTTTCCTCAGTCAGATGTGGGTTGTTATTCTGCGTGACACACATAATGAAACAGCGCTGTAGTGAGCAGCTTTCTTTGGGTCAATTTGAATTCAGTATTACAGACACTCTTAGTGTCCGTGTCACCTCCTGTGTGTGATTTTATGTTTGTGGGTGTATTTGTTGTATATTTTGACTAACTGTGGCAATAAGCTGAACCTGATCAATGATGGTGCTCGATCAAAGGAACTGTTTGTTTGTTTTTTATTGTTAACTTACTGGCTCACTTCAGAAAACTAAATATTATTTCTACAGTAAGATGGATAACTGTAAATGATTAATAAAACTTGTGCAGAATTTACAAACAATTGTGTTAACTTTATTGAAACTCATGCAATAAACTTTAATTTCCATTAATGGAAGCTGACCATCAGTGTTGTCAATTCTTCTCACAGCAACAGACATTTAAACAGGATAACGCAAGCCTATAAGACATTTTAAAAAAATACTGTTTAAATGATGAATTGTTAGAAGACAAGAAGAAATATATTGATCAGAAAGAGAGAAATAATTATATAATCATTTACAGAAAAATGGTGAGGAATATATATGTGCTCTAAACCGATGACAGCAGTTCTTCTACTGATAAATATTTTTGTTTAATTAGTGCAAACTTAGTAGTAGACTCTGAGATGTGCTTGGTTGTCATGGTGATAAGTTGTAGTGGAGTAAGTTGCTGTGGCAAAGAGTCATTAGAGCTGGAAGATTTGATCAAAGCATTTCTCACAGAGGATTTTCCCAGCATAGTGGTACCTAGATGAAGAGCGATCACCCAGAGGACTCCTGCAACCGTTACCCTAAAACACACACACACACACACACACAGACAGACAGACAGACAGACAGACAGACAGACAGACAGACAGACAGACAGACAGACAGACACAGACAGAGAGAGCTGATCACACTGCAGCACATCTTAATTCCCAAAGAAAATAAACAATGAAAAAAGTTTCAAGGCCATAAAACATAAAAAAAACAAATTCACTGCCATTGGCAAGTGTGGTTTAAAATTTCATTTTGGGACTAGATCCATAAGTTCCAAGCATAGGCTATTGTTTTCATCTGCTATGTCTTTCTGACATTTTCCTCTGCACCATTTAAAAAGGTTAAATACACAAACTAAATATTTAGATTACAACAGAACCTGTCTCTGAAAAAAATCAGCAGATTAGATTTGATTAATCATTTATTTCATTCGAACTTCCATACTAACATCAACTGGTTTGGTTAACAATATTCTTCAACATATCTTCTTTTGTGTTTAACAGAAGAAAGGCACTCATACAGGTTTGAAACGAACTGAGGGTGGGCAAATGACAAAATTGTCCCTAGTATCCCTTTAAAAATTATCCCTTTAAGCTGCGATCAAGAGAAAACAAAAAAGGAAAAAAATAATAGTAATGAATGCCTCAGTGCTTCTGTAGGTTTCAATGATCCCATCCCAAATCGCTTTTGACCTTGTTTACACCTGTACTGACCACCTGTGATTGGATCACCAAAAACCTTAAAACCAGATGGAAATATACAGACAAGACTCAGATAAAAACAATTTGGGGGGAGGGTGAGACACTGACATCTGAACCTGAGTACGGAGGATTTTAAAAAAGTAAACCTTGAAACAATCCGGACGGCAGCAAATGAAAGGAATGTTGACAGAGATTTTCACATTTTCATCTAAGGGCAGCTTGCAGAAGGAACACATGGTTTTACCTTTCACACTGCAAAGGGAAACATACACAGATACACACCCATCTTATGAAGAATAAAATTGTATTAAATTCTAATACCTGTTAACTTTATTGTAAAAATAAATGCAGATATTTAGTAAAACAGACAGGTCACACTTAATTTTACATGTTGATGTTTCTGTGTGTTTACATAAGACCTGATTTATGCTAATAAACTTACTGTGTTAATATTTTGTGGATTCTTTAAATCACCTATTTTTAATGATATTGCTTTAGAAATTAATTAAAGCAAAATATTATAACATCTACTCAAACAAAGTCCACAGACATCATAGCTCAATGAAGATGTCTTTATAAATGACTTACTTCAATTTGGCTTCACTGTTCAGTCTGTGGTGCTCTTCCAGGGCTGCCACCGGGGGTTCTTCGGTCAGTTCTGTTGTTGCTCTAGTTGATGACTCTGTTGTTGGAGATTCCAGAGCAGATACAAGTGAAAGTTCCCCATGATCACTTGTAGGCTGGTTTTCTGCTTGTCTGGGTTCGAGTGGAGCCTCTACTATAGGGGTTTGTGCTACTGTGACTTGTTCAGTATTGTCTTCTTTATTCTCTGTAGGCAGTGTACCTGAAGGCTTTGCTGGGTTCTCATGTAGAGTTTTGACTGTTTTCTCCTGCAGTGCTCCACTGGATTGTGTTTGATCTGTTGAAGCTCCATCTACCAGTGTCTTCCCTGTTTCCTCTACAAGAGTCTCTGTATGTGTCTTCAGTGATTCTTCTGCGGGTTACACCAGAAGGAAGAGACCGAACTGCTCTCAGGAGATGACACTTTCTTAGACTTTACTAGCTTTACTGGTTTCCAGTGGAGAGTAAACTGAAAAAAATGAGATAAAGTGAGAGTGAGAGAGAAAGAGACAGCGATGTTCACACTGATCAATTTCAGTGCTCAAGCAAACGTGAGAAAGACCTTTGGCTAGTTGATGCTACCACTCTCAGCCAGCAGATGACAGCGAAAATCTGCATTTACCGTGCTTTTACATCTGACTGTGTGTCCTGAACATCTTGAGACCTGTTGATCCAGCTTCCATCTTGTTTCAAATGGGTTCGAACTTTTAGTGCTTGGAATACAGCCTGCCTGTTAACATCTACAATCATAGAAAATTATCTGTTAGAGTGCATTTTGTTAACAAATGTATATTTTGTGTGTGTTTGTGCATGTTTTACCACTGGACATGGCAAGATCCTTTTCTTCAGTCAGGCCTACACACATGAAATTTGAAGTTTTTCTATCTCTCCTTCTGTTGTTATCTATACCATAGGTACATTATATTGTTTGATCTGCTCATTTTTTGGAGCCAGTTGGTCAACATTATTCAAGATTTGATCTAATCTCAGAACAGGTTTAGACTGGCACAAACAGGCTCCTGTACTTCCCAAAGATGCATGTACATACTGTACAAAAATGCAGCACGGCCACATTTTTTCTCAGTATGTATGTGTTATCTAGCATGCCATCCAGAACAGAAACTCCGGTGCTGTCACACAGTAAAATATGTTGTGAAGTTTTTTCTTCATGCACTGTTTGGAATTGCACTTGACATAGTAATTGCATTGTGTTGGGGTGTATTAGTCCTTTAACACTTAAGTGGTGAAGTAAATAGCTAAAAATAAATGAGCCGGAAGACATTCAGGACAATGGCAAAGAGGAAGAACAGGTCATAAAACAGCAACACAAACACAAACACAAGAGTGTTATCGGGTACAGAAACCCCGGAGTGGATCGGGAGCGGTGTAATTACAGCATGCTAGAGTGCAGAGAAGAACGTGCTTTCGCTCCACTCCAGGCATTCATCACATCCCCTTCAGCAGGGAGAATACACCTCGTCCTTCCTTAATTTAACCCCACAGTCAGTGAATAACGTAGACTTGAGATCCAAGCTAAGCTCCCGTGTCTTTCCAACCAGCTAACTTACTGACCAAAGTTGAGACTGATAGCCCCGATGCTAGCGACAACTGCTCACCTGGGCTTTCAGATAGGATGCGATGTGCGCAGCAATATTATTATTTTACTGCTGATTCTACATGCCGTGTTGGTCCCGATGACCAGGGAAAATTCAGTTGTGGCTTTCTCCACGTTCATTTACATAGGGGCCTGGTTGTTAGTCCGAAAAAACTGACCGTTACCAAGATGGCTGCCGAGTGGCGGGACTGGCCTATGACGCCACTAACGGTAACTGGCGAGCTTATGCACAAACCCCTTCGTAGTTCAGTTCTGAAAAGTCCTCTGTAATCCTAATATT